TCTCCAAAAAAAAAAAAAAAAAAATTTAATGTAAAGGGCGGCGCCTGTGACTCAAAGGAGTAGGGCACCAGCCCCATATGCCGGAGGTCGCAGATTCAAACCCAGCCCCAGCCAAAAAAAAAAAAAAAAAAATTTAACGTAAGGCATGTATACATACACACAAAGCAGGCAGGGTAATAAAAATAGGGAAAATGAAAACAATTGCTGTGAATGTGAATTAAGAGTATGTGAGAATTCCTTATATTATTCTGGCAACATTTCTGTAAGTTTGAAATTGTTTCAAAATTTAGGATGCAATAAGCTCCCTGTAACTATATACATCTTCTTCAATGAAGACCATACACAGCTTCAATTATTAGAAAACTGCAGGTAATTTTAATAAAGCCACTTCAGGAATACAATCAGGTTGAAAAACCAGTACAATATACTCTAAAATAATTTTTCCATTGAGTTAAAAACTCATTTCCACTGATGTACATAGAAATATCATTTACCAAAAAAACCCATAATTTCATTACCAAAAAAATGGTAATATCAAGAGGAAAAGTTAATCCTTCAACAATTTTAGCTTGCAAATTAAAATACAGCTCAGGAGCTAAGGGGACAATTTTTATTCACATTCAGCAGAGTAACCAACCATAAAATCAGTAATCACTTTCAACTTAATAACCAATTTATATTTCTCAAACAAGCTATTTTCAACCCTGATAATTCTTCATTTTTTAAAACATATTTGCTGCAGGTTGCTAATCTGCAACAGGTATCAAGAAAATAACCAAAATTAAATAAATGTGAAAAAATGATAGTGTCACATAACCTTGAATTACACCAAGTCAAGAAGTGAGGTCTACAAAGCATTGCAAAAGAGACTACTATAATGTTACTTATATTCTTGCAATAAAACTGGCAATGCATCCATGTCAGGAGAGTTATCATCTCATTTCCAATTTCTTCCCCTCAAGAACAATCTGAATCTCTTTGGCATCCAAAGTCTCATAGGTCAATAAAGCTTCTGCCAGATTCTTATGTTCCTCTGCATGAGTTTTCAGGATATGTTTTGCTCGTTCATATGAGTCCTAAAATAGAAAATCAAATATGTAAGAAGCAGAAATGTTGGGAAGCAAAAACCATAGTAAACGGGGAAAGAAATGAAATTCCTATTTACTCTAAAAAATATATATTAAATTAGTTGATTTGTGTTCATAAAAGGACTTAAATGCTTGCTTCTAGAGTAGTCGTTCTCAACCTGTGGGTCGCAACCCCTTTGTAACAGTGAAAATACATTGCGGCATTATTTGGTTGAGAACCACCGTTCTAGAGTATAGATACTTCAGCAACATAACATAAATAGCAAGGAAAAGAAGATAAACATTCTAGGAAGGCAGAGACCTCCTGTTCTGAAACACTTTCTAAACTTTTCCATTGTACAGATTTTCATATCCTTAACTACTCCTTTTACCTCCTTGAATTAGTGAAAACCCGGCTCTCTCCTGCTGAAACTGCTTTCCCTAAGCCCTCTCAAATGCTATTTATTCATGCTTATCCCAGATCCTTCAGGGTGAAGAAGTGAGCTCTTTATTCCCATGACTACTTCCAGGCCATCCCTAATCCACCCTCTTATATAAAGCACTATTTATTCCTTTAATATCCAAACCACTTAACTAAAGCCCTTTCTAACTTCATTGTGCCACTGAACAAACACCCTAATTATATTCCTCATTCACTAGACCTTGGCATTCATCTCAGTCTTCCTCATCATTCCAATACCTGCCTTAATGGATAGATAATGTCAACCTCCAGAAGAATACATAACCAACCACCCCACTAAGCCCCAGACACACACATTTCTAGCTTGTAATCTTTACTAAGATTCTTCAAATTCATCATGTATAAATTGGAGGAGGGCATGGTGGTATGTGCCTACTAGGGAGGTTAGGAAAGAGGAACTGTTGAAGGCAGGAGGAACACTTTTTTTTTTTAATGTTCTCATGGGATAAATTTTTTTCTTTCTTTTTTAAATTTCAGATTAATGTGAAGGTATAAACAATTAGCTAGCTTTCTTTTTTTTTTTTTGGCTGGGAGCTGGGTTTGAACCCACCACCTTTGGTATATGGGGCCTGCGCCCTTCCCCTTTGAGCCACAGGCAATACCCACTTTCTTTTTTTTTGAGGCAAAGTCTCTCTTTGTTACCCTCAGTAGTGTGCTGTGGTGTCACAGCTCACAGCAACCTCAAACTCTTGGGCCCAAGCCATTCTCTTGCTTCAGCCTCCCAAGTAGCTGGGACTTACAGACACCCACTATAATACCCAGCTATTTTTAGAGACAGGGTTACACTCTTGCTAAGGCTGCTGATCTCTGAACTTTTGAGTTCAGGGCAATCCACCTGCCTATGCCTCCCAGAGTGCTATGATTACAGGCGAACAATTAGGTTTCAATGTTTACATTTGTTAGGTAGAATCCCTATTGTAGTTGTGTCCCACACCCAAGAGGTGTATGACACACCCTTACATTCTGTTTATTAAGTGGGAACACACCTATCCCCCCCTCCTCCCTACTACCTCCTTCAGAAGGAACTCTTAAAACAGAAGTTCAAGTCTAGTCTGGGCAACATAGGCTTTGTATTTATTCATCGCTAAATACAAAAACAAAATAAATAGGGTAAGGCGCCTGTAGCTCAAGCTGCTAAGGCACCAGCCACATACACCAGAGCTGGCAGGTTCAAATTCAGCCCTGGCCCACCAAACAGTGACAATTACAACCAAAAAATAGCCAAGCATCATGGTGTGTGCCTGTAATCCCAGCTACTTGGGAGGCTGAGGCAAGAGAATCACTTAAACCCAAGAGTTGGATGTTGCTGTGAGCTGTGACACCATAGCACTCTACCCAGACCAACAACTTGAGTCTCTGTCTCAAAAAAAAACCAAAAACAAATAACAAAATGAACTCAAGATCTGTCTACTTCCTAGCCTCTGCCCAGTTTACGCTCCAGTTTCTTTAGTAAATGGCACAATCATATGGTTGTTGCGTGAAGCAAGAAACAGCTTTAACTACTCTCTCAATCATCACATCCAAAACATCATAAAGATATATCTCTTGAAGCAACTCATGTTTTTCCATTTCTATTCTCACCAAGCTAATCCAGTCATCATCCACAATACCATGCCTGGATTGCTACAGTACCTACTACAGATCCCATTGAATCTACTCTCTCATATTCCTTTATCCTAGTCTGTATTGGACCCTGTAGCCAAAAAGACTCTTGTTTTGTTTATTCTGTATTATTCTCAGCACACTGCTGAGCACAAAACAAATCATCAGTAATATTATTGAATAAATACCTGCCACAGTGGGAAAACAAGAGACACAGAGATTCAATAAACAGTATCACCCTATCACCCATTCTAACCCTTCTTGTGGTTTTTCAGCTAAAGTAGGTCTGAAATTTCCTAACCAGAAGTATAACTGTTCTTATCCCAGGGTCAGGATAAATTAAGACCCAGTTAATAAGCAAAGGTTCCTGAATAACATATTTAAATCACTGCTGCAATGGTACACTTGATATCTTTATTTGAGTGATATTTCCAGTGAACAGAGGGACTTCCCTTGTTCCACTGTTAAAAGTGCCTAATTATTTGGGCATATTATGTCTAAGAAAATAAATATGCAATAAATATTATTACCCTGTGAAGGATTCTTATTTCTTGTTCAATAGCAGATTGAGTTTCTGGACTCGGTGTCCCTGTATTACTGTAGGTCCCAACTCCAAGCTAAAACCAAAGGGAAGAAAGTAATTGAACAAAAAAGCCCCCAAACAACATAATTAACAAAGGAAGTACTATCCTACATATAAGGAAGCAAATATCTTGTAGGGCAAGAAGAACTATAACAATGCATTTGATGACCAAAAAAAAAATCATCATTCTTCTGAAAGCATGAAGACTAAAAACAGAAGAAGTATATATATAAGCAAGAGAAACAGTTTTAAATCATTTTAAGTCTGGGTAGAAGTACAGTTTTAGATAATCTTCACAGCCATTACAAATACAGAAATCCAGAATTCAGAGTACAAAGGTGCTTCAGGGAGCCATGGTGATAATGTGGAAATGTCAAATATATAGAAGGGGTATAAAGTAAGCAAGATCAGAAAGTAGGATCTTTTGCCAGTCATGGTGGCTCACACCTGTAATCCCAGGACTGTGGGAAGCTGAGGAGGGAGAATTGCTTGAGCTCAGGAGTTCAAGACTTGCCTGAGTGAGAGTGAGACCCCAATTCCTAATAAAATGAAAAACTCAGCGGGCGCTGTGGTGAGTGCCTATAATCTCAGCTTCTGCTGGCTGAGGCAACAGGATGCCCATAGACCAAGTCTAAGGTTGCAGTGAGCTATGGCGCCATTGCACTCTGCTCAGGGTATAGGATGGGACTCTGTCTCAATTTAAAAAAAAAAAAAAAAAACAGCAAATAAATCAAAAATAAGCCAAGAGGCTTGGTGCCTGTGGCTCAAGCAGCTAAGGCGCCCAGGTACCGAGCTGGCGGGTTCGAATCTAGCCCAGGCCTGCCAAACAACGATGGCTGCAACCAAAAAAAAAAAAA